AATATCTGCAGAGCAGAACTTACCTTCCACAGCAATTATTTTAGTTAGCATATAGCTAAAATCTAACCATGGTTATATAATAGCAGCTGCATTCTGACACAAGAAGTTGTATGTTTTATATTCAGTTAACGTATGATCTGATTAGTGGACTAATCAAAAAAAATAACAAAAAAAAAAACAAAACGGTAATTAATCAACTATAAAAATAATCGTTTGTGGCAGCCATAAACCTGATGCAGCACAAACTAACTTTCTGAAACGTTACCACCTGGAGTAGATATAATCACGTCTGCAGTGTGTTAGCATTTCAGATGATCAGGATGTTTTCATCACTGCCGTCCTGCAGAGTCTGCATTTTACTTTCTTTGGTTTATTTTCTCTAAAATGTAGCCAACTTTTCAAAGTTTAAGTCTTTTCTTTTTGCCTCTTCGACGTGAATGTCTTATCCCTCTTTACTGTGGCTTCTTCTGTGGTTTGCAGGCCAGCACCTGTTCTTCATTAGTAAACAAAGCAACTGCAGACAATAGAACTGATTCTACTGTGCTAGTAGTTCATGTGTTGCATTGCAGTTACAAATAAACATTAGTAGTATGAGACATTAAAAATCTGTCAACTAATTTTAACAATCAACATTGTTGATTATGTTGACTAATTGTTGCAGCCCTACTACCCACCTCTGAAGATATATGATAATAAAATAAACATTATGAGGCATTGATGAGGTGTCCCACATAAGCATCTTTTTGGTCCCACATTTGGTTTTAGGGATCTGGTCACCCTAACGTCAGATGCATTGATACTAAAGTGATGGAAACAGTTCTTGAGTTTGTTTCTACTAGTTTTAACACTGGACAAAACAAGTATTTTATATAATTTAGTTGGCTTTGACTGCACAGCAACTTCAGAATCAATCCACACACTAATGTGCAGCATCCATATTTACTTCTATAAACACAGCATGTGTGTGAATTCACATCTTCTACCCATGCAGGTTGCTTCAGGGCTGTGGGAGGTTCAAAATGAGTATTATGGAGATCAGATTTAAATTATAATATTAACACCTATGTAATATATTAAATCTTAGCAAAAACACAAAAATTGAGCATTTAGATCTGCTGTGAATGTAAACTTTGTCTGCCTCTCTGTACACATCTCAGACTATTCAGCCTTAACATAAGTATTGTTACGCCTCTGCTCATCCATGTTACAAGTCCTTTTGATCACTTCAATATGTTTAATCAGAAGCTCCGTTTATTATTATTTTTTTCTAAATCGAGCAACGAGCCTAATGTACAGTACGTGTTTGTGGTCAGTGGGAAGAAAAACTAAATACCCAGAAAAAACCTATCAGTGCTCCATGAGAAACTTCACACAGAAAGACCGGTAGACCATGATGCAACTTTCTCGCTGAGAGGTGTCAGTTCTAACCACTGAGGGCCCATGCAGCCCCAACGTGATTACATTTAAAACCAATGTCCATTAAAACACCAGACTGTTTTAAAATAATATATATGCATTTACTTGGGGTGCAACGATACAGGAAATTCACAGTTCGGTTCGGTTCGATACTTTAGTCTCACGGTTCGATATTTTTTCAATACAAGAAAGAGAAATTTCCATGCCTCTTTTAACTTGTAATTTATTTATATTAATTATGAACATTTGTTTAACCTCAAAAGTACAGTTTTTTAATTAAAAGTTGCTGAAACAGCAAGTTTCTCAGTGGATCTGGGCTCAAAAATGCAGCCTAGGTGGAGTAGTCGAACACAGATCCACTGATCCTTCAACACAGAGCATCTTCAGAAGACGTCCTGATGCATCTCAGTAATCCAGGTAAAAAATCAAAAAGAAAAAAATTGTATAGGTC